ACGAGCTCCTGTGAATTTTTTTTTAAAAAAATAGTACACCAAAATGAAGGTTCTAGTCCATCTCGTCATTTGCTATGCTGGTTTTCTGCTTCCTGGGAGTTTCTCACATAGGGTGACATTAAAAAATGAGCACCCTAAATGGTACCATTCATTTTATTGCCCCAGAACTCTACCACTTCATTTCACTCTTTGTAATATGGGGAATAACAGAGCACTTCAAAGAACTGAAACACTCTCTAAACTGAAAGCTCAATAGATAATATCCTAAAACACTTCTAACCTTTTCCAATGTGGGAAGAATCCCCTGCTCAAGTGATGTGATTAGGAAAGCACTTCTGTTTGAGTGAAAATGCTGAACACTTTGAGTTTTCTAAAGCAGTGTTACAAAGCCAGTTACAGGCAGAATGGTACCATTTGAAACTGTGTCTGTATGGCAGACTCCTCCCCCCACCCAAAGAACCCTTTATGAAAGTAGTCTCCACCTATCCTGCCATTGTACTTTCAGATGTAAATTGCTCTCAGGAACAGGGAGGATAGAAAAAGGCTTGCTATCCTATTTTTATTCTCAAAACATGAATAGGTCTCTTTTGCATGCTCCAGATTGCAAAAGCCTAACCATTGTCCAAGGTCTGTTTGAGTCAAAGCTGGGTTGCTCCCTTTCCCAGAGAACAAAAACAAATTGCTTATATTAATTTAAATGCACATATAGTTACACTAGCCCTCAGATTAGTGCAGGATGTTGGAATAGCCAGTGAGAGAATGTCTTTAATAAGGACCACTGCATGCATCATTGTCAATTTACTCATGTTAGGGTGCCAGTTCAGGATAACTTTTTTTTTTAAATGATGTTCTTATTGAGTTCTTTTATTCTATAATGTATGAAGAATGTGTACTTATTGAACATGCTGGGAAATCATCACACTGTACATCGCTCATCAGAGAATGAGGGAACCTTGGGAATAGTTGATATATACTCATTTCTGTGATAGTCTTATATGCATGATGGAAAATAAAACCCACAATGCTATGGAGAAGGCTGATTTTCTAGATGCATTTCAATCAAGATTCAGACCCAGTTTTGGTATAGAAACTACCCTGGTCACGCTGTATGGTGACTGGTGTCAGGAGAGAGACAACAGGGAGAGTGTGACTCTGTTTGTTGTCCACCATCTCTTTTCAATACTATCAACCATTGTATTCTTAGGGGGGGGCTGGGGGGGTTATTTGTGGGATGTAATCCACTAGTATAGTCAAATGCAAGATTCCTTATTTCCCTAGAGTGGCTACATGCAGGGCAACATCCAGTCGGTGTAACTTCCTGTTCCACTGGTCTAGAGCTTCCTTCCCCTGCATGTGTCCTGGGAGATGGGTGTGGCTCTGGCTGACTCTATAAAAGAGCCAAGTCATGCAGCCATTTTCTCACTTGCAGTTTTGTCTTTCTGTCGTCTTATTGCTGCTCTCCTGCAGCCATTTTGTTGTCTTCATGTAATTTTGTTGTCTGCTGGCTCTCAGCCAGCAGCACATGAGTTCAGTCTCCCTATGAAATGAACTCATACTTTCTTTATGTAACTACCAGGTAAAGCCTGCCTTTCAGGGATCAAATCGTGAACTGAAATGTGAGCAAACATTTTGTTACTTTGCTCAGAAAGACGCTTGTGTCTTTATTCTTTCAAGAGGGATTAAAGGGGACACCAGGAAATTATCCTAACTAAGAGATTCAAATGAATTTGCAAACTAGCTTCTAGCTATATCAATTGCTACATCAATTACTAGTATGAGTGAAGGAAGGATAATACTTATTCAATATAATCTTTCCTACTATCCTTAACATTCCCACAGTATTGCAGTGGTTCCACTCTTACTTGGATTGCCAGCTATAGAAAGTGCTGCTGGGGGCGGGGTATTGCAAAACCCTGTGGGTTCTCCAGTATGGAGTTCCACAGCAATTCTGCACTCTATGGAATATAGGATCTGCTTTATACTATGTCAGACCTTTGGCCTCTCTAGTCAATATTGTCTACACTGAGATGTAGCAGCTGTCCAGGATTTCAGGTGCTGTTCTCTTGGAGATACCAGGGACTGCGACTGGGACTTTCTTAATGCAAAGCAAATGCCCTGTAACTGAAACAACAAGTCTACTGTCAACTGTAATGTCAGCATTTTTTATGCAAATGGTTTGAAATTAAATGGCATTATCCTTGCATCTCTCACCCCCACACCTGCTGGCCAAATTCCAGACAAAGGATTCCTGCTGTAGAGGCAATTTCAAAAGGAATACAGATGCATCATAACTGCTATCTTTACTAGATAGAGTTTTCCTATAAGTCAGTTTTACTACTTTCTTCCACCCAGTGGCGTAGCGTGGGTTGTCAGCACCCGGGGCAAGGCAAATAATTTGCGCCCCTAACCCCCAGATGTTGCGCCCGGTGCGGCCGGCCCCCCCTGCACCCCCCATGCTACGCCACTGCTTCCACCCACCCAACGACCTTTCTGTGAACTGTACACAGAATAATGACCACTATATTCAATGCAAAGCACGGAATGAATGAATTTTCATTTGTTTCATTGTCATTCATTCAGATTCCCATTTGTCGGTGCCTATAACCATCAATGAATGCATGGGGCTCATTTGTTCATTTCCCCCATTCATTTAAAAAATGAATGCACATCCCTAACCTATCTGTTATTCTGAAGGCCAATGCATATATACATAATGGTAGAGTCTTCATACAGGGAATCTACCAGCTGATGCTTCATGTTTCACATTTGTTTGAAAGCACCTGCATGTGAAATGTTCTCCTACTAAGTAAATGATCATATTTGGAGGGAGGGGGATGATGGAAGTGGTGTTTTTAGTTCTGCAGCAATTTTTTGTTGGTTCAATAGCAATATCAGGCAAAAGCTTCAGTGCTCACTTGAGGAGTCTACCTCTGAGTCATGTATGTATTGACCCACTCTACAAAAACCCAGTTTTACCAATAGTCTCCTTTGACATTTGATCTTCATTCATTTGCTTGTCTGAGTTTAGATTCTAATCATTAAGGTTTAAGAAAAGTTTGTCATTGGAAACTTCTTCAAAAGATTTCTAAAAATATGAATAAGTAATGCCATCTGCCATTAATAACTTTAAGACCTCCTCTAAAGTATCTGGAAAGAAAGAATGGCAGAAAGCTTGAAATTCCTTGTCATGCCAGTTACAGTACCTCTTATTAAATTATTGCTATTCTCCAGAGTCTTCCTTGTTAAAAAAAAGAAAAGTATCTATCTGATGCTATTTCTCTTTGCTAATTGCCTAGAAACGTGTAGGTGACATCTGGCCTAAATATATCCTTTTTCTTTTTGTAGCAGAATGGTAAGTTTTCTCTGTGATGCTATAGATGCCATTCCTCCCCCTCCCCTTTAGCATTATAAAGGTAAAGGGACCCCTGACCATTAGGTCCAGTCGTGACCGACTCTGGGGTTGTGGCGCTCATCTCACTTTACTGGCCGAGGGAGCTGGCGTACAGCTTCCAGGTCATGTGGCCAGCATGACTGAGCCGCTTCTGGCGAACCAGAGCAGCACACGGAAACACCGTTTACCTTCCCGCCAGAGTGGTACCTATTTATCTACTTGCACTTTAACGTGCTTTCGAACTGCAGGAGCAAGGACCGAGCGATGGGAGCTCACCCCGTCGCAGGGATTCGAACCGCCGACCTTCTGATCAGCAAGTCCTAGGCTCTGTGGTTTAACCCACAGCGCCACCTGTGTCCCACATATATATATATATATATAGTGACTGTTTAGTGTTTTTGAACAGGGAAAATATATTGTACTAGCTTGAATGACAGTCCTTGGAAATGTTAGTGTTATTTGGAGTGCCTAAGGATGGGCATACAGCTTTTTATTTTGTGTATAGATGCTTTTGTATACTTGCATGCAATCCATTCCTTGCTGCTATATTTGTCCTGAGCAGGGGTGGGACCTTTCTTAGCCCAATGACTGCATCCCAGGACCCGTGTGCAGGTAGTGGGCATGGCCAGAGGCAACAGATGCCTCTTAGAGCAACAGATGCAACTCTTATATTCATCACTACACACGTACACCAATGAGGCAGGCAAAAAGCATTTGCAGATCATGGACACATTCCACCCAGACAAAAACACTCAAGGTGAATTTGGAGCCCAGCTGAGTGGGCTGTGTGTTCTGGGGACAGTCCAGAAGGCTAGAGGATTTGGGGGGGGTTGCATTTGGCCTTCGGCCTGAGCTCAGTCACCCCCCACTTTAGGGCATCTGTGCTCCATTTCCAGAAAGCATGGATACACTCACTCAGGAAAATGCTAGGCATGTTTTTCCTCCCAAAGAACATGGAAATATGCTTACAAATCTGCCACTTGCACCATATCTAGATCATGATTTGTGACAAGTTTTATATGTACCTACTTATTCGACTCATCAACTCCTTTGTGTCTCTGATAGAGTGTATATGTGGGCTGATGTGCAGAGGGATAGTCACTTAAAGGTAAAGGTACCCCTGCCCGTACAGGCCAGTCTTGACAGACTCTAGGGTTGTGCACTCATCTCACTCTAGAGGCCGGGAGCCAGCGCTGTCCGCAGACACTTCTGGGTCACGTGGCCAGCGTGACAAGCTGCATCTGGCGAGCTAGCGCAGCACACGGAACACCGTTTACCTTCCCGCTGGTAAGCGGTCCCTATTTATCTACTTGCACCCGGGGGTGCTTTTGAACTGCTGGGTTGGCAGGCGCTGGGACCGAACGACGGGAGCGCACCCCGCCGTGGGGATTCAAACCACTGACCAAGCGATCGGCAAGTCCTAGGCGCTGAGGTTTTACCCACAGCACCACCCGCGTCCCTTGCGTGACCCACCCACACTTGCTCCCAAATGTTGACTTGTCTTCTGTCAAGCCAGCTTAACTAGTGCACTATTGATAGAATCATAGAATGGTAGAGTTGGAAAGGACCATGAGGGTCATCTAGTCCAACCCCCTGCAATTCAGGAATCTTGTGCCCAACATGGGGCTCAAACCCACAGCTCTGGGATTAACAGTCTCATGCTTTACCAACTGAGCAAGGAGTTCTTCTCCTGCTCAGATTCTGTTCCAAGCTGAAGAACTGTGCTTGTTTGTTTGCTTTGCTCCGGATACTGTCAAGCTTTATTTTAAGCTGTGGAACTTCATTTCCTAAATCCCTCTCCCCACCAATCCCACATTTTGGTGGCTTAACTAATTATGAGACAGAGGTGGGGAAACTCTGTCATTTCCCCCCTTAGTTATTATTTTTCCAAATTAAAAGCTCCAAACACTTAAGCCTTTCCTCTTGGCAAAGGTGCCGAAGTCTTTGGATGATTATTGTTTCCATTTTCTACCTCTTTTCCAGCTCTCTATGTTCTTTTTTGAGATGGCTTGATCAGAACTATATTATCATTTATTAAGCAAATATTCACCCTACCTTTCCACCCTCGAGACAATGAGATTACAAAAGCATATTAAAATATAATACAATTAAAAATTAATTTAAAAACACTAAAATGAAAAAGAAAAAGCTAACATAACATAGCAAGAGCAGAAGAAAATAGCACTGCAAGAAAAATATGTAGGGAAAAAGGGAGTGATTCAACTAAATGAGAAAGCATCAGTAAAATATAATAGCTTTTACCTGGCATCTGAAATCCAGTTCAGAGGCAGTAACATGGGCCTTCTGCCTTAGGATGTCCCACCATCTGGTCCACAAGGAGAAGGCCTAGTCCTCTGCCCAGTAGAGGCCAGCAGGGCCACATCACTGACCTGGCTTCACAATGCTGAGCATTACTGCTGGTTACCAAGAGGCAGAAGGGGAAAGTCAAGGTAGCATGGAGCTTGGTATGGTGTGGGCACAGTGGAATTGGCTGCTACTGCCTTGACCAACCACACTTCAGTCTAGCATAGTATTCCAATTGCATCCTCACCATTGCTATGCATAATGCCATTACAATATAGGTGATTTCCCTCAGCCAATCACTTTCTCAATTATCCCCAACACAGAAGTTCTGTAGCTCAGTGGTGGAATGCATGCTTTGCTGGCAACAGGCCCCAAGTCCAATCTTTGACAGTTCAAGGTATGAAAGATCTCTGCCCGAAACCCTAGAGAACTGCTGCTAGTCAACACAGACCATGGGTGGGCAAACTTTTCCAGCCAGAGGGCCACATTCCTTCATGGGCAACCATCTGGGGGCCACATGCCTGCAGTGAGTGAAGCCAGATGCAATGGATGTTACTGTTACTTTGTATAGCAGGCCACACAAAGTCAGGAGGGTTCTACACATATCTCTCCATCCTTCCTCCTGGTGAGCAAGAGCCATTATCATAATTCAAGAGCACAAATTGAGTCTTTTGCTACTCTTGCTAGAAAAGCAGTTTACAGCACAAATCTAAACTCACCTACTCCAAAGAAAGCCCCACTGAATTGAATAGAACTTACTCCTATGCAAATGAACATAGGTTAGATTTTAACAAATAACTGCAATACACGTCACCTGCCAGGTTCTCCATTCACACATTGGTGAGATCCTTTTTAAGCTTTTCACAGTGAAGCCTAAGTATTCACTATAATGTGGTGCCATTCACAAATTTGGCTATCTTGCTGCTTGCCCCTGACTCCAGATCATTTATGAGCAACTTAAATACAATTTATGAATGGTATTTAAAAATAGTTTCAATCTGAGGGCTTCTTCAAGCTATCATTTTATGATATTGCTTTCCTTAATGTTAAAATCATGATGTATTTCTTCTAGGAGTAGGTTGGAAAAAGAGGCCATTTACTTTCCATATGGCCTTATCAAATGCCATCTTGCAAGACATGTTTTGAATTCCATATAGAATGTGTCAAAGTATCTCTCTATCAAACATTGCACTGCACATATCCTGGAATCCTTGGTGCTCAAGAAGTGGTAAAGTAACTACATCAAAAGTATTTATACAATATTCATTTACCCAATGAATATTGTAACAATATTTTGATGCAGCTACTTTACTAATCAGGAACTATTCCGTATGTGACATGAAAGGTAACTTCTCTTGTTATAAAGGTCTTTAGCCTCAGGAAATAAATTTAGAATCCATCTCAGGCAATTGTGTAGTTTGTAATACTGAAGTCATAAATATACTAAAGGCCTCAGTCTGATTCCATCCAGTTTCCTAAGCCGATCAATTAACTGTGTTTAAGATCATTCAGTTATGCTCAGGTTATTATTTAAGAGCAAATCCTATCAAAATCACTGGAGCTTATGTCTGATAGGATCAGGTGGCATAGCCAACACAAGACATGGGATCAGAACTCTTGGAGAAGACTACTAGACTTTACAGTATTATAACCAGCAAATAACAAATGTCATAAAGCTCTCAAAAGAATAATGGTGTGTGCTTGGGCAATCTCCCTATTGAAACAGTTACTCTTGGTCAGGAATGCAGAATTAGTAGTCTTCCCAATGTTGTTGGACTACAGCTCCCATCATCCCTGACTACTGGTTGATGGGGACTGTAGTCCAACAATACCTTGAAAGCCACATGTTCCCCATTCCTGCAATGGTTTGTTGTTGTTTAGTTGTTTAGTTGTGTCCAACTCTTCAAGACCCCATGGACCAGAGCACGCCAGGCACTCCTGTTTTCCACTGCCTCCCGCAGTTTGGTCAAACTCATGTTAATAGCTTTGAGAACACTGTCCAACCATCTCAACCTTTGTTGTCCCCTTCTCCTTCTCCCCTCAGTCTTTCCCAACATCAGGGTCTTTTCCAGGGAGTCTTCTCTTCTCATGAGGTGGCCAAAGTATTGGAGCCTCAGCTTCAGGATCTGTCCTTCCAGTCAGGGCTGATTTCCTCAAGAATGGATAGATTTTATCTTCTTGCAGTCCATGGGACTCTCAAGAGTCTCCTCCCCTGTGATGAGTACCTTATGATGAGCCCCTGCAATGGTAAAAGGTAAAGGTACCCCGACCGTTAGGTCCAGTCGTGGATGACTCTGGGGTTGCGCGCTCATCTTGCTCTATAGGCTGAGGGAGTTGGCGTTTGTCCACAGACAGTTTTCCTGTGTCATGTGGCCAGCATGAATAAGCCGCTTCTGGCGAAAGCAGAGCAGCGCATGGAAATGCTGTTTACCTTCCTGCCAGAAGAATGGGAGCTCACCCCATCCCGGGGATTCAAACCACCAACCTTCTGATCGGCAAGCCATCTTGCAAGATGTGGTTTAGACCACAGCACCACCCACTTGCCTGCAATGGTATCTTACTTTAAATATATTTACTTGAAATCTAATCCTGTTTGTCTGAGAGGTGTTTTTTGTTTTGCATCTTGATGTTTTCAAGCAGTTACTACAATTCATCGAAGAGTAAACTCTCATTTAATACAATCCAATATAAATTAGTTGTGACAAAATCCTACTGCAACCTATGGAGTGGATCATGCATTCCTAGCCTGTGAATGTTTACACAGAAGTAAGTTCCACAGACTTACTTGCCAATAGGAACTGCATACATTAGTCAGAGCTATCTTGGATTCTACCCAATGCGTTTAGGTTTAGGATGCCAATCTCTCTTTATAGCTGCATCTGGTTTTAGGCTAAGAGAGCATTCAGCTGTCTGGCTGCATTTAGAAAACCTCCTCTACTAGATGTAAATAGACTGGTGCATTGTAAACAAATTTATGTGAGTTTCAATGGAAAATCTAAATGATATGAGTATCACACATTAATGTAATATTGTACAGAGCAATAACTTGTGGCACATCATTTATTTCTAGGAGTTATGGATGACCTCATAACTCAGGAGTGATGGAGCAAAGCAGAACTACAAGTGAGTTATGAAAGGCCATCAAAAGAAATAAATGGGGAACCCAGAAACCAGCCTGCTGTACAAGTTCCATTTACGCAATACCAATTTGAGCCAGTGTTGATGGCCTGTAATATTTTATACCAAGTGCTGCATCAATATGGGAACCTGCTTATGGACTTAGTTGTTACATTAATATTGGTGGAAACTTGAGGGAGGATTAGTCATTAGACCCAGACTAGATATGCCCCAAAGGGTGGCTACCACAATCCTGTGTTCCGTTCCTTGAGTCCTCTTGATAACATTTAAGATAGCAAGTCATATGACTGCATCACACATCTGGGATATTTCCACATCCATGTCATCCAGAACATATTTTTGTGAGGCCCTCTCTAATTCTCAAACACCTTCCATGCCTTAAGATTTACTCAGAGTAGACACAGTGATTTTTATTAACCTAACTTAGTCATACTTATTAATTTCAAAGCATCTCCTCTGAGTTAAATTTAGCTGAATACCATTCGATGTCTTAATTATATGCAGCTTTATGCAACTTTAACCATTCAATGAAACTGACAGTCAGTGTAATTGATTGTCTAAGAATTATTAGTCATATTCTTTAATTTCAATGGGTTTCCACTGAGTAAATTGAATATGACCCAGTGGTCAACCACAAAGATGCAGCTACATGGAGGTAGGCATGACTGACTCAAAAAGTCACTGGCAAGTAATTGGTACTCCAAACTAAAGAACAGTTTACACATTCAATGTTTTTTGCTTTTAAAAAAGAGAGACTGCGGCAGGGCTTTTATCACAAGCTGGAAAAAAAATCTCTGTCATTCTTCTGTGGTTCATTCATACAAATAGTTCCCCCGATCATAAAAAAAACGAACACCTTGTGTTCCTTGCATGATTTTTGGGTGCATAAGTAACAACAGAAGAATTCCTCGGTGGCTTTCTTTCCCCACTTCATCTGGTGGTGATGTGTCTCTGCAAAGTAGCGGCTGAGCTGGCTTTATCACAGGCTGGCAAGCTGAACATGCTTGGAAAATACTGCCGCTTATTCAGCATGCATAATGAACATTCGCATAGCTAGGCTCTTGGACCTCTTTGAATGTGGAATGCGCCTCTGCCACTGTGTTTTAAGACTAAGGAAGTGAGAAGTGTCCATTTTTTTGTAGCATATGAGTTGCGATGATGCAGCTACTCTATTGTGAAGAAGCTACTGGTGTACCAATTTGCACTGGCTCATCCTGCTGTGCATTGGTTTGCTTTCAG